GCGTCAATCAGCCTATTAGGTGGAGATCAGGGGTGTAGACTGCCGCATGGAACGAGCATGCACGGGTGCCTCCACGGCAGCTGCTTAGCTGATGGTGTCACCCGTGCAGGGGGCGGGGGGGGGGAAAGCTTTGCAAGGGCCCACTGGAGAATGAGGTAATTAACATTTTTAATACAACAAAGGAGTTTATATTTATAAAAATGAAGCTTTAATAACACTTTAAAGTAGTAGTAAAACCTAAAATTAATTTCAGTAATGAATCCAAATCAATCACATATACATTTTAAAAAATGATGTTTAAAAGCTAAAGCTTTTAAACATCAGCATCCATTGTAAGGGATTTAATCAGCAATTGAAAGCATTTTTAACTTTAATATCACTTTAGTTGTAACATAAGTCGTCCTAATTTCGGGAACGCATGTCTTGACCATCAACAATAGAATATAATAAACAACAGGGTTTTCTGGTACCCAATCAGTCTCGGTCTTCAATTCTTTTAGTCTAAGCATTTGTTGATTGGCCATTTTTCCAAGTATTTAGGAAAACAAGGGGAAAGGGGTACCCTCCCCTATAGTATTACTAAAGCACCTGTGCTATAGTAATACAAGGGACAAGACAGAGCGCCTCCATAGTGTAAAAGTGTAATTTATTTGTAACAACACGCAAATAAAAATGTACTTAAGCGTTGCTATAGTAATACACCTACTTCCGGGGAGGTACTGTAGGTGCTGATCTAGTGTCTTCCAATGGTGAAGATTGTGATGTGTTTTGAAAACCTCATGCTTACTAGGTAACTTCCCCTTCATTTGACTGCAATTTTTGGAGCGGGAAATTGTTAGATTGACAATTTTGTGATCTTATGGATTTGCCTAGAGTTACTCCATTAACCTTTCTCTGATTGTGGTCCATCCATAGTCTAAATCTGGATCCGTCTTTCTCATCTTTCCCTCAGGAGCAGAAGTCGGCATCAGCACAGCCCGGATCCATGCACGGGGTCCTGTTGGGATAGAGGGATTGCTCACCACAAAATGGTTACTGCGGGGGGAGAATCACGTCGTCTCCGACTTCGCTGAACACGGCAGCATGAAGTACCTGCATGAAAATATCCCAGTACCACAGAGAACCGCCAGCTAAAAGCCAGACACTCTCTTCTCTCTACCAGTACAGACCTCCTCTAGAGTCATGAATCGCTGATCAGTTCCTACACCAACACTTAGGCTGCGATCAAGATTGTGCACCCTAGAAAATAGCATAGAGCATTTAATGCCCCAACTGTCACTTGTGCACACTGGAGATTGTGGCTGGCCAGGGACTTTGACCGTCATTTGAAAGCTTTGATTGCAGTACAATCAAGATGTTGGCTTGATAAATGAAATGGCGCTTAGAATACGGTTGTTACAAGAGTGAAGGCACATAACTCTTGACACAGATGTTTACAGTAGTACTGAAGCCTCTGAAGATTTCAGCTTTTTTTAATCCTTTAAATTCCTTTGACCCCCCCACCCGCCTTTTTCAAAAATGTCAGACAGTTATGGTGAAGGAAACTGCTGTATTTGAAGCCTCATGAGAAAGCAGTGACCCTGAACCCCTGCAGCTACAAATAAAATACAGCACCACATAGACAGCACTTAGAGACACGGTCTCCTTGCCCATTCAGAGCAAAGTGACAGCATTTTTGAGCTCGCTCACTTCTCGATCTATCCCTGCAGAGAGCCGTGACTGTCACTCACGGCTCCCTGCAGGGATTTACCCCTCCCCTGTCTGATCCTCCAGCGCTGACTGCCGAATGGAGGGGGCAGGCACAGCTAGGCAGAGCCAGCTGTCAATCCCGCAGCTGGGTGGATCTCGAGAGTAATGTCAGGATCCGTCCCGGCTGTAGCTCGCGGTATATAGCTTAGGGTGACAGGAGGACGCTATTTTGTGTCCTCCCGTTACCCTTAGGAGAACTATAGGGGAAAAGCACTGACCCCATAGCTCTCTAAGAACCTCATCCCTAGAGGGGGCTGCCGGGCACAACCCTAACTTTGCCTCATGATGAGACAGACCAGGTCCTAACCTTCGAGCTTGCTGAAGTCTGACTTAAATGTAATTGTTCTTAGCTGCACAGTACTGTGCGATCTGTTCTCAGGAAGCTTAGAGAATGGATTTCCAGGTCTAGATTCATATGTCAAAGGTCCAAATAAAGACAGATTATTGTCCTACTATTGAAATTGTCTTATAAGTACACCTGAAAATATCATTTCATTGTTTTCAATTAAACTATTTTCGTACTTTTCAGAGTTTCTAAAGCTTGTTTGATGGGTTTTCTTTGTTTTAACCTTAAGCATATGTAGTTACAGGATGCTTGTTTCAGTATTGCATTGGCCATGCTTTGTTTACTTTTATAAACCTTGATCAGTTCTGAACACATTACAGGAGCTAGATAGCCAGTGCAATTAAAAGATGCACATATGCCAGCTTGTTATTTTCAGCTTTTTTCATTGCCAGTGGAAACACTTGTTCCCTATTCCCCTAAATGTGTCGGCTGCCATCTGGATGGGACCAACCGGCGGATTCTGATAAATACATTTATTCACAACTGACATGGATACTCATTGATTAGGCAGAAGAGACAGCTGGGCATGTCAATTGTGAGAGCTTCCTTGTTTTCTGTATTTAGCTATACAGTATGTAATGTATAAGAAGTATGCATGTAGAAATGTCTGGGAGAGACAGACCTGGCACACGCAGAATGTCCCAGGAAAATCTCACATGAATTAAACAGATCCAGTGGAGTAGAAGGTACACATAGGACTTCATCATAGATCAATATCAGAGAGGAAAAATAAAAAAACATATTTATTATCCATTTGGGGACAGAGGGAGTCATACTGTTTACTGTCAGATTAATACGCTGTCTACGGGAGGATTGGACACTGGCGGAAAAAATAAATAAATATGAAGACTAGCCCAGGATATCCCCTCCTATCCCCTCCTACTATCAGCATAGCTGTTTGTTGCCAGTGTCCTATAATGGACATGTTTTCTTCAAAAGTTTTCTTGGAATTTTTTTTTTTTTTGATTACCTTTATTTGTTTTTCTCATTTGTCTCTTCAAGCAATAGTCCTCTCATCCCTGCTGAAGCTGGTCTCTACAATAGCAGCAATCTGGATCAGCCCAGAGGTGCGTTTTTTTTATCTGGAAAAAGACCTTAGCCCAAGACCTGGTTTCCGCATTAGGTGCTTTCCAGACCCTTTTTGATAACTGCGGAGAGCTTTCCAGTTACAGTGCCGTTGGCATTGCCTCTGCGCTTGCCCTATGTAGAGATTAGTGCCATTGGCTGTAGTGGACAACACCTCTCTGATGGTCCTCATGCCTCCAAGATTCGGCTAGAGTTTGCTTTGAAATAAAATAAAGAACTGGCACTGGAAACTGCTCTTTGCCTGCAGACTGTTGACTTGGCATACGGTACAAAGACAGGTAGGCTGGAGGATGTGCAAGGTATCGCCATCTGTCATGCATTCTTGGGAACTGACCAGCACGCTGGCAATTTGACAAGAACGTCCAATCTGGAAACAACCAAATATAGCACACACCGTAACATAAGATCAGAGTAGATGCCACAACCTGCAGTTTGTCAGCTAATTGGTCTGCTAGTCAATCGTGCACACCACACATGCCCAGTTTACAAATTGCGTATGACCGTGAAACGGAGAAAAACTGCAGTACCCCAAAAAGTCAATAAAAGACACTTTAAAAGCCCCCACAGGTCATCAATTTAGAGATACCCCAAAATACTGGCCCTAGAATTATTGCTCTCACTCCGGCGTGCGCGGCGATACCCAACATGTGTAGCGCGTTCGTCGTTTTCATGCGTAGGCGCACCCGACGCGTGTTTACGTGGCGACGCGCGTGCTCGCGGGGGCGGGGTACTTTTAAAATTTTTTTTTATTATTATTAGATTTATTTTATTTCATTTTAATTTTAAAAACTGTTTTTTTGTTTTTTTTTACTTTACTTTGACTGCTATCACATGGGGGGGCTTGCAAGCCCCCCCATGTAATAGCAGATGGTGGTGACAGGTCCTCTTTAAGGTGATGCTGGGGGTCCAAAAGACCCTCAGTGTCACCTTTACACTGGAAATAAGCTATTGAAGTGCAGATCGCACTTCAATAGCTTATAGCTGGGCTGCAGGAGCCCAGAACTGACAGCCCAGGGACCGGAAGTGATGCAATCTGCATCGCTCCCGGTCCCATAGAACGGGGAGGGGATCGATGAACGGAAGTTCGTCGACCTCCTCCCCAGCTCCCCGCGGACACCAAGGACGCCGGTAGGAGGGGCAACGGAGCCCGGGAAGCACAGCGGAAGCGATCTGGTGACAGGTAAGTCACCAGGATCGATTCTGTTGTAAAGCTGACAGTCGGCTCTACAAGTTTAAACAGAGTCCCGGCGGCAAAAGTCGCCGGGAGTCTGTTTAAACAGCCCCGATGCTGGCGACGTACACTGTACGTCGTCAGTCACGAAGGGGTTAAAAGAGTTTAGCGCTCATCAGTTTAGTGTTATCAGTGATTGATGGCCCTAAAATTATTGCTCTCACTGCGACGTTCGCGGCGATATGTAACGTGCGGCGCAATGGGGTCTAAAGATGCCCACCCGCATCCAGGAGACTCCCGTCCGGCCGTCTTTCAGCGTTCGGCGGACAGGAAGTGGTTAAAGTGATAATAAAGCCTCTTTTAAAAAAAAAAAAAAATACTTCCTACAAGGAGACATTCCGTTGCTTGAGGCTGTAGCCTATTTGCTTTAAAAGTTTTTAATTCCTCGTTTTCTAGTGGGTCCCCGCAGCCATCTTCCCCCTGCCCTCTACACGGGTGCCTCTGTCATTCTAATGGAGGCACCCGTGCTCGGAGTAGCTGTGTGCGTCCATAGACGCACACAGCCCTGTGCCAGGCCATGCCCCTGCTCTCTTTGATGGCAGAAGGAGCCTACTTCTCCTCTGCCATCAGTATCCTCCCCCAGCAACCAGGAAGTTTGGGGAACGGAGGATCGCCTCGGGTCCAGAGGCGGGGACGAGTGTAGCTGACAGTGAAGTATGGGAGGACTGGGAAGAAAAAAAGGTGCTGGGATGTTTTTACCCTAATGCAGATAATGCATTAAGGTAAAAAAAAAAAAAAAGCCCAGACCTTAATACTATAATTTAGTTCGACTGGAGGTCTACTTCATGCTATTCAACTTCACTGTGAGTGACACCACCACCACAGAACTGGTATATAGCAGTCGTGGAATGACAGCTCACATCTAATAATGTTTCTTATGTATTTTGCTTTTAAAGCAAACCTTTCAGGAATAAATAAAATGTATCAGCATATGCGATGCATCGATACTAACGCATAATGTTCTACCAGCTGCGTCTTTTATTTCGTACAACAGAAAGTATTAACAATAGGATTATGATCAATGCTCTATAGGGTAAAGATTACTTCTTCGTCCTTGATGCTGAAAGGGTAGTCGATCTATGACAGCCCATGAGAACCACCGAACCACATGAAATGGTCCTCAGGATGGTCTCTGATACGAGCAGACCTTTCGTGGTGATGTTTGGGATACCTTCGGCAGAACGGAGCTTCCGTGTCCTGCCTTCCTCTGAAGGAGATCTGGTAATTGCTAAAACCGTTCCAGCAACTTGAGGGTTTCAGAGGAGTGCTATGACATGAAAGGTTGAAATTTCGAGAGGACTGTTGTCTTGTTTCATGTGGAGTCTTCCTTTTCCCAACTCCCTAAAAAAAAAAAGAATGTTATGTACAGTTGATCTCCTCTTACAGGAATCCGCATAGCAAACAAAACATTTATTCCCTTAGGTAGAGTGGGGGAAGGATTAGAACTTTGCTGTCTGGGTTTCATTGTAGAGATTTTTTAATTTCCTGTCCTGGTAATAGGGTGTCACATGGAGTGATGGGAAACCTCACCAATGGGGTCAATCAAGGGAGAAATAAATACATTTGTCAGGTTTTTACTGCCATCTACATGCATGTAACAATTTAGAAAATTGGACAAAACACTAGTTTCATTGGAACCCTGGCAGACTTTAATAGTACACACAAAACTATGTTTATACAATATATAGAAATATAGTTGTATGTGTACCATTAAAGTCCACCAGGGTTCCAATTAATCTTGTGTTTTGTCCAATTTTCTAAATGGCTATTTTTGGAAGTGGAACTTGTTTTTTTTTTTTTAAACATGAAGGCAATACTCAATATGAATGCAGGTCACATCCATTCTCATTCTTACCCTTGGATTACAGGGACAGGAAGTGAGAGGAAATCTTCCAAACGAGCTTACAGTCATCAGAATAAATTTGACCCTTTCCCCTCTATGCCCACTAACACAAAATACATTCTAAAAAAAACAAAGCTTAGGTAGATTTGGGCTTTAAATCCGCACTCCAGGCAAACAACTCAATACAATGTTGAAATACGTAAACTGTCAAAGGATATGTAATTGTGTTCAGCCAGTCTTTTGATGCAATCGATAATAAGAAATCACCTGCACTCCATAAAGCGTACAGACCTTGGATGAGAGGTTGGTGCTTGAAGTGACAACACGGATGGTGCCGTGTCAGATACAGTCCATAGTAGAAGTCACCAGCACTCGAAGATATGTGCAAGAAGTAAAGCACTTTTTTAAATTAAACTCACATGCGTCAAACAGCCAACGTTTTGGGGCCACGCAGGGTCCCTTCTTCTGGGTGACATAGTGACAGACACATCTGCCAATCAGCAAAGGCAGGACCTGACTTTGCATATCTCTACTGCAGTTAAAGTGCAGCTGAAGGCAGTTTTTTTTTACTTTTTAGAGCGGAGAGGGATTAGAACCCTGTCAAGTTTTTTTATTGCTACATATGTCCCCATTAGGAAGGTTTGTCCTGGAAGTGAAAGAAAATCGCAGATTTTGGGTTGTCATCAAGAACAGGACACTAGTTCTGGTGACTCTGCTGACCACTATGGTTTTACCTCACTTTGAAGGGATTTCCTCTCACTTCCTGCAGAGTTCAGGCTAGGAGATGGAAAAGCAGCACAAAGAGCCAATCTTTTTTTTTTTTCCTGACAAGGAACATGCTGATTGGAAGAGATAGAGTATAGAGAGGAGCTCATCACTCTGCTGCCTTAGTAGACAGGCCTGTGCTGTGTGTAGGACCTGTGTCAATTTCAGGACTGGATGAACAGAAATACAAATCCTTTGCTAGGTAAAACAGCTCCCATTTTTGTATTTAGCTGCTTGCCTGGAGTTCAGCTTTATTATGTGAATTGATCACTTCCTTAGCACACTTACAGAATCCAGGTATTCTCCGCTCCCCTGTATTATGTGTCTGTTATCATGTGAAGAAAATGGGAATCCATTCTGGACTTCATTCTGCAAACAAGGATACATATCAATACTGGTTATTACAGAGACAAGCCCCTGTATTTCCAGGTTCGCCATTCTGCATATTGAATACATAAATCAACAGAGTAATAAAGGAAATCTCAGCAAGTTTGGTGCCTGCCATTGCTGGGATCCCCTACTAAAATGCTAGATGCCTGGCTGCCATGCTTAACAACTGTGTCAATACTGACCCAGAACAAATATGTAGATGAGGACATTCCTGATCTTGCTTCTTTTTCTGAGTCTGTGACTTACGGTACCGCAGAAAGTGGGTCATCATAACAGCCAGGTAACTAGCATGTTCAAAATAAAGGCAGCCACCCCACTTATTTCTCATGGCAGGATTGCTTTAAAGCCTAACCGTAGCCAAAAATGTTTTTTTACCTTTTGAGATTTGAAGAATAGAATAACAATTCTGCCAGTCCGTGAACCCACTGGGATTTTCCCATCATTCCCTGTACGTGTGAAAACTATAGATGAAAGGGGCGGGTGTGGTGATCAACGGGACAGAAAGGCACAGGCAGCAAGAAATCATTGTCGGAAGTTCTAACCTCTGTCAGGTATTTGTTACTGCTACATGTTTGGTATCTATTTACTCAACGTGACCCCCATCTTGTATTGCTTACCAAAAATTGGGTATTATATTGTGTTTGTGTGCAATACAATTCATTTTAGTGTTTTTTTCCCTAAAAGTATTGATTTTACATTGATAAACATTTGCGCAAATATTGTGTGGCATAAATAATGCAGCTATCATTTTTTTATGCTATAGGGCCTCTGATTTCAGAAACTATATACTTGTTTAAATTAATTTTCTATCCAAAAATCCAGATTGTAATATGTGTGCAAAAATTTAAAAAATCGCTCTGGTATACCCTTCATTATTCTATTCAAAACAAAAAAACTTCAGCTTTAGCTACCAAAGAAAACATTTCTTCAGAGAGGAGTGCCATATGCTTGACTATCGTGCTCGTACTCTAGTTCCAGCACCTTCTAAAGCTGGCCATACACCTATAGATTATCTGCAGATTTTCTATGGTCAGATTCCTCCATCTACGCTAAACTGTGTGTATGGAGGAATCTCCCGCTGGGCCAAGCTTCAGTATATTGCTAGTCAGTCCCGCTGGCTCTCAAAATACCTGAACAATCTGATTGGATGCAGGCATTGTTCAGGTATTTTGACAGCCAGTGGGGCTGACTATCGGCCGACTGATAGGTGTATGGCCAGCTTAACTCACTGAAGTCCAGGTTTGGAGTTCTGACTGATGGCTAGAATTAAAAAAAAAAAGAAGAAAATATTGCCCTTTTTACATCCCCGAAGCAGTGGTCACGTGACACTCAATGTCTCGAGTCTTCTCTCTTCCTTTGTGTATTCCACTTACTATGGACTATCCAGCGGTGAGGTCCTCTCAGGATCCAGAAGAGGAGTGACGCCAGCACGAGGAGGTGGTAGGGGACTGGCGGTTTTCAGTGCATCTGCAGCACTGGATTAGCAGCCCCCTGCACCCAGAAATGGAGGCAGCAAGGGACGTGACAGAGAGCTAAGGTAAGTATAGCTTCCTTCACCAGGTAAGAAAAAAAAAAACCTTGCAGGATGGGTTAGAGGGGGATGGGAGGGGGGACATATTTTGACTTCATTGGAGCTTTAATGGGTTGCTTTGTCACAATGCATTATAAGTGTGTGCTAATGCACCACAGCACAGCGTGCGTGCTTGTGGGTGGGTAGCATGAAGTGTACTTTATACCGCGGGGAGAAATATAATAGGCAGGTTATAGTCATTACCTTGTTACAGGACACACATATCAGCGGAAGTCTCTGCTCTTTCCAGGAAGCTGACTTGGCATGATGAAGCATATCCTGGGTACTTGTCACCGGCAGCTTCATACTGACACCTATATGAGGAAACTACAAACACAGAGAATCCGTTATCCAAAATACAAAACTGAATTAAAGGGTATCTCTAGACAACAAGCTTTTCTTAGTTTTGTATGGAGTATATACACTATATTGCCAAAAAGTATTGGGACACCCCTCCAAATCATTGGATTCATGTGTTCCGTGAAATTTCCTTGCTACTAAATATTCCGCGGTCACCTGTTAGTGATAATATAACTAAATGGAAGCAACTGGGATCAACAGCAACTCAGCCACAAAGTGGTAGGCCATGTAAAATGACAGAGCGGGGTCAGCGCATGCTGAAAACACAGTGCGTAGAAGTCGCCAACTGTCTGCAGAGTCAATAGCTACAGACCTCCAAACTTCGCGTGGCCTTCAGATTGGCGCAACAACAGTGCGTAGAGAGCTTCATGGAATGGGTTTCCATGGCCGAGCAGCTGCATCCAAGCCTTACATCACCAAGTGCAATGCAAAGTGTCGGACGGGTCTGGGTTTGGTGGTTGCCAGGAGAATGGTACTTGCCTGACTGCATTGTGCCAAGTGTAAAGTTTGGTGGAGGGGGGATTATGGTGTGGGGTTGTTTTTCAGGGGTTGGGCTTGGCCCCTTAGTTCCAGTGAAGGGAACTCTTAAGGATTCAGCATACCAAGACATTTTGGATAATTTCATGTTCCCAACTTTGTGGGAACATTAATTTTAATAATACAACACATAAAACAAACGTATACATCCACAATTAGATATTAAAACAGCAATACAAAACAGACAACAATACATACAGACCCACAGAGGGGAAAAAACAAAACAAAAACAACCACACCTCTCCTTTTATAAAATTAATTTTCCTCTCAACATACCATATTTTTCAAGCCACATTACTCTTCGGAGTACCAATAATAAATAGGAGAGATATTATACGAGAGACATTATACCCAAGGTCCTTTACCATATTCAATCCACATTGTGTTATATTATTACACTGTGCTCCCCTAAGGTGGTTCTCTCCTCACCCACCATAATATAGTGTTATATTATTATTGCAATGAAACACGAACACAGCATTCAAAACCCGGACTGTCCGGGCGAATCCTGGACAGGTGGCAACCTTGGTGTAAAGGCAGGCGTCCCAATACTTTTGGTAATATAGTGTGAATATATATATATATATTATGAAACCCATCCTTGTAGACATCCATGTCTCACCCACAGTCCGTCCTTCTCAGCAGAAGGCATGCACAGGCGTCCTTTAGGCATCCCGTCTAATCCTCCAGTGTAATCTATACACAAACCTCATGCCAGGACTGCACGCAAGAACAGATCACTGCAAATCAGCTCATGGTATCTAGGGAACACAAAAGCGTCCGTTGGTAGTCATGGAAACCTCAAACACCAAGGGTTTTTTTTGTAAAGGCCACGGGAACTTGGCTAGTAAAAAATTGTCTGCAACTTAGGCGCCATTTTGTCGTAGCCGCTCAGCAGCCGTCTAAATTTGCATTGGAATTGCGTGGTTACAATGCAGGCAGCAGCGGCTTATGTTAAGCTTTGGTTCAGCTTGTTTTGGTAGCCGCCAGCTTCCCAAGGGGTTCGAGACCTGTTCAGTTACTTGAGTGCTACGTGTGGTAGTTGAGGGCCTGTCTAGCTGCACGTGCGGTCTCTATGGTATTGGGAGGACTTTCTAGTAGCTTGCATGCGTGTTCTGACGGGGAAGACTGTCTTCTCTAGGAATTCACCCGCTCTCTATGGTCCTGGAGTAGTCCTGCAGTCGCGTAGTAGTGGGCGGGGCCGGACTCTTAGTTCCGGTAGCAGGGATACCGGTCTGGAAGTTTCTAGTGTCAGCTGAGTGATGGACAGCGGGAGGCGTATGGTGGAATAGAGGGCGGCATGGAAGGTGGCGTGGAGGGTGAGCAGGCCCCACACAAGCCTGACAGTGGGGAGGACACCGAGGAGAGCCAGGTAACTGCATTCATAATGTCAGCATATGGGAGGCAACATCTGTAATCCCCACAGCCGTGCCACTGTGCTCCCCTCAGGGGGTGCTCTCACCCACCATAATATTGTGTTATATTATTATTATTACTACACTGTGCTCCCCTCAGGAGGTGTAATCCTCACCCACCATAATATTGTGTTATATTATTATTATTATTACTACTACTATACTGTGCTCCCCTCAGGAGGTGTAATCCTCACCCACCATAATATAGTGTTATATTATTATTACTATACTGTGCTCTCCTCACCCACCATAATATAGTGTTATATTATTATTACTATACTGTGCTCTCCTCACCCACCATAATATAGTGTTATATTATTATTACTATACTGTGCTCTCCTCACCCACCATAATATAGTGTTATATTATTATTACTATACTGTGCTCTCCTCACCCACCATAATATAGTGTTATATTATTATTACTATACTGTGCTCTCCTCACCCACCATAATATAGTGTTATATTATTATTACTATACTGTGCTCTCCTCACCCACCATAATATAGTGTTATATTATTATTACTATACTGTGCTCTCCTCACCCACCATAATATAGTGTTATATTATTATTACTATACTGTGCTCTCCTCACCCACCATAATATAGTGTTATATTATTATTACTATACTGTGCTCTCCTCACCCACCATAATATAGTGTTATATTATTATTACTATACTGTGCTCTCCTCACCCACCATAATATAGTGTTATATTATTATTACTATACTGTGCTCTCCTCACCCACCATAATATAGTGTTATATTATTATTACTATACTGTGCTCTCCTCACCCACCATAATATAGTGTTATATTATTATTACTATACTGTGCTCTCCTCACCCACCATAATATAGTGTTATATTATTATTATTATTATTATTATTATTATTACAATGTCACTGTGTTCCCCTCAGGGGGTGCTCCGCCCACCATAGAGGTGTGATTATTATTCCCCCAGTATGGTGTTATGATATGATTATTTTAGTACACTGTGCTCACCCCTCAGCAGTATTCTCCTCTCTGACCCTTCTAGAAGGTTCATTTTCAAGGCTCTGTTCACATCTATGCAACGCAGGAGTGCGTGCAATGCCACACATGATCCTGCATCCATGTGTGGCATTGCACTGCATTCCCCCCCCCCTCCATGCACCTACCCATTGCATGTGCATTGTACCACATTGCATGGTAACCTATTGCCATGCAGTATGGTGCGATGCAATTTAATAAAAAAAAGTGCGTGTATTTTTTACATTTGTTTACCTGAATTAGGCCAGTCCAATCAAATTAATTGGTTGCCCTACCACAGCGCTACACAACGCACCCTGCAGCACCTTCGCAATGTTGCGTCACAGAGCGAGCGCTTATATTATGTCCGCCCCTGGGGAGTGTCATCTTTATTTCCCCAACGGCTGACCCTTCTGTAGTGTTATTTTTATTATTATTAATAATTTTGATGATGTGCTAACCCCTGTGGATTATTATTTTTACAGCCCCACTGGACTGATCCTTGTACAATGATGCAGGTTTATTATTACTACCATCTGCTGACGCTTTGATGGTGTTGTTGGATTAATATAACTATTATTATTATTGCACTGGGCTACTCTGCGCTATTGTTATACTGTACTGACTACTGACCCTTCTAGAGTGTTATATTAAAGAAGAACTCTGGGCAGAGATAATAATACTTTAATAATTGATAAATATTATTATTATTTAACATTTCTTATTTATCAATATTAAAGAAGAACTAATCTTAACTCTTGCAGTGGGACTATCCCTTCCCTCCAAGGGTTAAGTGCTTGTTTTTTGTTTTTTTTAAACAACATTTTTATTTTGTAGACAAGAAAGAAAGTACAAATGTACAGCAATGCACTTAATACTTCATGCAGATAGACAAGTGCTTGTTTTTGTCTAGGAGGTAAAATAGCAAAGGTTTACTCACCTGAACCTCGAAGGTGGCTGGCTGTTAGCTCGGTCCCTGCAGCGTCTCTCCTCCCCCACTCCGGTGGTTTAAGGTCCTATGAGCCATCACGTACAATACGGTGTATAGGGTGTGAGGACAACGAGCGACATTCAATTGCTGGAGTGGAGGAGGAGACGGGCAGCAGGGACCGGCCTGACAGGCAGCCGGATCAGAGGTTCATGTGAGTATATTTATGTTCTTTTGACATTCTAGATAAAAATGAGCACTTAACCCTTGCAGAGCCGGGGGTAGCCCAAGTGCAAGGGTAAAGATTATTTCTGCCCAGAGTTCTTTAGGCCCCATTCACACTGAGCGATTCGCAAATCGCGTGTTTGTCGCGCGATTTGCATTTTGCGCGATATCGCGCAAATGCTTGCATTGAGCAAGCTAGAATCGCAGCAAAATCCGCTCCAAAAAGGGTCCTGCTGTAGCGACCCGCGACAGCGACGGACAGAGCCCCATTGCCATGCATTGGAGAGCGATATCGCGCGGTAAATAGCCGCGATATCGCGGGAATTACCGCGCGATAAATCGCTCAGTGTGAATGGGGCCTTAAAGTAGAATTAAATACTTGTTTTTTTTGCCTATATCTGCTGCTAGCAAACATATATGTGCTAAAACATAAAAATTTCATCAAATAGGTAGTTACTTACCTGTGTCTCCGCCGCGCGCTAGTGTCCGAAGATCTGAGGATTCTCGGGCAGCTGTGAAAGATCATGGGACAGGCACATGCGCAGTAGAGATCTGCGGCCAGGAGAAGAGGGGAGACACAGTGTAAGTCAATGCAGGCAGCTGGGAGCGTGCACCTCGGACAGACTACGTGGGATCAGATCAAGAGGCATCATTTAAGGTAAGTCCTTAAAGCAGCATTGGGGGGGGGTGTAACTTTAATATTGATAAATAACAATACAAATCAATAATACGTATTGTGACTTTAATGTCACTTTAATATTGATAAATGAAAACAAATAACAATAATACGTGTTGTTTTATTATGCAAATACTTATTATTAATGAATGTTTATTATTATTTTATGCTGTCACTTATATGATATTAGATTATTATACTAAATCTTATTAGATTATGCAGACCTTTGAAGTATTATGCTCATTGTCACACTGTGCTGGCCCCTTAATCACGTTAGAGAATTATTTTAATTACTGTCTATTATTTCCTTTTTATTATTATCACTCTGTTCACACCTAGGCGTATCGAATATGCGCGTTTGTTGCGCGTTTCATGCGTTTTTATTGCAATTCACGGTAGAAAACACGCGAAAAACGAGGGCTACTTGGCTGTATCCCAATGGAAACGTGCTACAAAAACGCAGCAAAGAAGCTCATGTACCGTTTTGTAGCGCGTTCGGACGGCCTGAAATACGGCAAGGTGTGAACCATACTCATAGAAAACAATGGGATTTTCATGTTTGAGCGTTTTGTAGAGCGTTGAACGAATCATTATATCATCATCGCACTGTGCTGACTTCTATGGAGTAATATTTATATTGATGTTGTACGCTGTGCAGGATGTTATTATTATTGTGTTTCCTTTGTTTACATGACACGCAGCACCCAGATGTGCAAAAGTCAACAAGAAGCTTCTCATGTGCCCATACACAATAGGTTCACACCATGTCAAGACCAGATCTGGAGCAGATCTGCAAAGACAGCACTGTGCATTTTTGCCGTGATTTTGTAGCATTCTGGTGCTGTTTTTTTTGTTTTTTTTAGCTTAAAATGGGCTTTTAGGTGCAGTTGAATGCATTTTTGATGCGTTTCAATGCATTCAGTGCATTCCAGACCAGAGAAAATGAGACGGGCAGTATTTTTTTTTTTGTCTGAACCGGAACAGACTCCGCTGGTGTGAACAGAGCCCAGAAATACCATAGGGATACATTGGGATGCTTTTTTGGTCCAGGAACAAACTGTTCATGTATGTATTGGTATCTTTTGCTGATCTTTATATATCCTTTGTAAGGACGATGTGGAGCATGGCTGGTTTTTGATTCTGTTTGGTCCGGATTATAGAATGTATTGCAGACCTGAAGAGCCACTCAGTCCATTGCCTAATATTTAGAAGCCATGTACTAACATTGCCAATAGAAGAACAGGCTCAAAGCTTTACAACTGCAGTGCAGGCAGATACAAAATCTCTAAAACAGTGATGTGTATACTGAAAAATATTGTTCCATGTATTTTACATACATGGAACTAACGTACACACTTGGACCTGTCATAGATATGCAGTCTTGTGACTCCAAAGCTCCAGCTAATAAAATTGCTAATAAAAATCCAGCTAATAAAATTGCTTTTAGAATACTTTTTTATATAAAGTTTTCAAACCTTCTAAAAAATTATTCTGAAGCAATTTTATTAGAAAATGTTTGCAGGGAGGATCAGAGCGAAGGAGAAGGAACATTTACCGGGTAGGTTGTTGTGTAGCCGTTCCTTTTACTTTCATCCTGATTAGTGCTGTTGGAGGCACTTCAGCTTTTTTTTTTTTTTTTTTTTTTTTTTTTTTTTCATTTTTTTTTTTACACC